TGGGTGTCTAAATTATGTCTAAAATGAACCCACATTCCGGACACACTATTTGACCGCACTACGGGGCAATTTTGTCACATTTATCCGTTCACAAGCGCATATCTGGACCAGTGTTCATCGTCGATTCACTACTCTTGCGCGGTTTGCAGGTAATTCAGCCCGGATGGAATCAAACGGGAAAACCGCGCAATCGGGGTCAGACACAATGCCAATCGATGCATCCAGTGGTTTGACTCCACGGCCACGCGTATCCAACACACCGTATATCATTGCGATTGTTTGCTGTTGTTTGGGTTCGATCGCGTTTGCCAGTCTGTTCGCATTCATGGTCTATCGACTGAAACGATATCGACAGAAACGTGCGAAAAAGTTGCGCAAAACTCAACTGACCTCCGCGATGGACGGGATGAAGCCGATGCCTGGGACAATGCATCATCCACAACCAACGGCACAACAGCATCAATTTCTGCTCACCAACACTCAAACCACAAATCCCCTTTTCCCGGTCACTTGTGCCACCAATTCGATGCCCATCTCGCACAGTACCAGCCTGGCTCCGCTCTATCCGAACAACTCGTATCATTACAATCCGCTGAAAGGCACACCATCCTCGTTCGGACAGCATACCGGTTTCAAGGCCACGGACAATGGCAATGCGTTTGCCACACTGCAATCCCCGAATCACGCACTGAACACGCCCTTACTGGCGCCACAAACACTGTCGCCCATGCTATCGGAACAATTGAATTCGGGCAATTACAAACCAATGACGGCAGCTTTGGACCAAGGTGGGTGTGGTGTCCGCGCCTTTTTTGTTCTGTAGAGATCAATGTATGTATGTATATATCTGTGTATGTTTATAAAGGATGATGTCGTTTCATGGAACCACTTGGCGACCTTTGCTTTTGTTCTTACTCCATGTTTATTACTTCCATCCACTGTTTGATTGATTGACGTAAGTTTCTGTACGGTTGAATAGATTGAATTATTGATAGTTCATCTCAGACCATGTGATGATCGAGTCAGAGGAGGGAGTGTGTCATTGAATAGAAGACGATCTAAACGTTATCCTTTACTGGTTTCATTTTTCACTAGGATCGATAAAAAAAATAAACAAAGAATCCAATGAGTTACGTAGTTACATGTTTACTGTCAATGAATTCAAACCCTCTCCCACAAATAGCCCAATTTTGAAGCTAATGACTTTGATATCGATAGATTGTTGACCATGAGATAACTGAGCTCAATTCAACGTTGGATTGTTACGTGATCTCCTGTACGTTAACCGAATATTTCAGTCTTCCTGAATACCAGTGTCTCCGAACAAAGAGAGCGAGATTGTATCAGTCAGCTCATAAATAAATAAATAAATAAATAAATAAATGCAACCAAATAGATATGCTCGAAATACCATCAATCTCATTTCGCATTTATTATCATCATCATCATCATCATCACTCTTTATGGCTCACGAAAGGCGCTCCCTCCTCACTGCCATGTGATCTCACTCGTAACTCATATGACCTAATTTCTCGCCACCCTCTCTCCCGCTTGGTTTTTGAGTTGCATGCTACTACTCGGTCAATTGGGCCTGCCCGTTGTGAATGCAACCCCGTCCGTCATTCCGTTGGCACCCCCTCTATCACCCGGGTGTCGTTTGTCTGTAAGGTCGATTTGTTGGGCGGTACGATAGTCGGTAGTTTGCCTGTCCTTGTCAGTGATGCAATGTTCCTGCCACCGTGCCGCCGTTCAAACCGACTCGCTTTTGTGATGTCCATCTGTGAACCAGCGTTACCTGGTTCACACTGCATATTGTGTGAGATACACCAATCCCATCGCGACCGCCTCCTCCCTCCCCCACCCGCCGATCGTGGATAGTATGTGAGATTGCCAAGAGAAGAGAGAGGTTTGCTGTGTGGCTATAACGAGTCCCGTTTTAGCCATTCCTCTCTCTCTCTCTCTCTCTCTCTCTCTCGCACCCTCGTTCTCTTTCGCCTTACCTCGAGATGAGTGTGGATAATTGTGCTTGTCACGGACCGGTTATTCGCGTATTTTCTATCGTCGGCAATCATTATCTCTGGTTGCTCTGTTGTACCATGAATCTTTCACAATCAAATCGGGTATTTTGATGAAAATAACCCTAATGTTTTTCTCCGTTTTTCCGTGTCCGTTCCCCGTCGTCCAGCTCCTCCGGCCTTACCGCTGACTGCCTCATCAAATATGCTTGTTGTTGTTGTTGTTGTTGTTGTAAGATGTAAACGATTTCACCGTGTAGAATCAAACATTTTTTCGGAGGTCACTTGCTAAATTTCTTTGATCAATGCAATGCATCATCTCGGTCATTCAGCCCATTGTTTAACACACCGCCTGGTTTAACTTTGCTACCGTTTTTGTTTGACTTACTCCTGTGCTGTTTTGGTGCACCATCTTGTCGTAGGATATATGAGTGAAGGGGGTTATTTGACATTTATTCATTCTGAGTAGACAAATGAATTACCATCTGTATCCCTGGTTGTTATCACCCGATATCTCCACCGTTTCTTGAACTTTGACTTGTTCCGTTACCTTTTTTTCGGTTTCTGGATGGACAGTGCAAGGAATAATAACTACCTGTTTATTTATATTGCATGTACAACAATGCCATACAGTTTACGTTTTAGGAAAGCGAATATTTTTATTACTATATTTCACACACGTCTGACGCCAGACTGTGAGCTAAACAAATCATAGTACAATAATCTTTATAAAAAAACGCTCCGTGATTTTCATGTGGGCCGAATACTGCCAGGTTGCCCAAGCTAAGACAGGTGAATTTTCTTGGGGAATCCACAACCGGAGCCTTCGGCTATCCAAAGTCCGACCCGCAAGGCAGCGGGGCGGTGTGCGAAAACCGCAATTCATTGGGGGCCGGTGTCCATTTAATCGGTTCATACGCCCATTGGACGAGGTCAAACTTCCAAGGTGCTCAATACACCTCGATGCCCCGTTTGAGCCGCTGACCATTGTCATTGTGTGTGGTTCATATGCCTCCTCTTGATTTGGAATCAGGGTTTTTGACCAATTCCCCTAGGTGAACCGCCAGTGGTCCGCCAACCCGGTTATAGCCCCGGATATCGGCTTTTCGTCCTCTCATTGTGTTGGGAAAACACCTCCGCCGCGAGAAGGTAGTGAGTAGGGCTTCCTCAGCAGAGTCTGTTCGAGACACTTGGTCTTATGGGAGCATTTGGCGAGATGCAAGGGAAGGGTGACCAGGCGCCACTCTAGATACCCACCCCCGATCACTCTGAGGCTTTCGGAAAACAGATGATAAAAAGTGAAGTGAGGTCATTGGGATTGAGGCGCACTACCTTATGACCGGTATGTGCTTTGTACCTTCAAAATCCTAAGTGATGCTATAAGACTGGGCGTCACCAACTCTCGCTCTGAAACTAAATGATCAGGATTTAGTTATAGTGGATTGCTTTTCCTACTTCGGTTGTTGTGTGACCAATGACGGCAGCGCTGCATTTCCAAGGATCGAGCAGTGTACGCAGGACTAAAACACCTTTGGTGTAGACGAGACGTTTCACTAAAGTCGAACTGTCGTGTACATTGTGCTGCCGTTCACGTCTGCTTTATGGTTGTGAAATCTTGTATTTGCCAGCGGAAGATATCCATCGACTAGACGTTTTCCATTATCAGCTTTTGCGTAGTATAGGCCACTTGGGTTGGGGCAAACGGGTTGGTAACCTGGAGGTAAACCGTCGTGTATTTGAGAGTTTATCAGGGATAACCCTGATAGCACATCGAATTCATATTAGTAGGCTTCGTC